TTTGACATATTTCATGAAAGAGAATCCCAAGCTCTTCTTACTAGCACTTACACCCACCATCAAAAACAAGACTAGGACCTGCTAGCCCTGTCAAGGACAACACTCTCCCTCGTCCGTCACCAATGTTGATGCACAACATCATAAAAAATGTCAACAATCATTATTTTCGTGCAAGACATACATCCAATGTTATAATCCACTATTGCCAACAAATATAAGGGTTAATGCCGTCACTAAGGTTGATGATCATCACTATATGTTGTCATTAACAATTATGATGCTGAACGTCAACACCAATAATAATGCATGCCATCATCAACATGGTAGACATTCTTAATTTACTTCAATGTTGATGCTCATCATTGCTAACAAGACAGATGCTTATTGTTGGCACTAATATTTTGGCCCGTTATGATCAATTAAATAGACATTCATTGTAAAAAAAAAAAGAAAAAGACATTCATTGTCAAGTCAATACTGACAACCTAAAATATTTTATCTTTTTGACAACTTTTGTAGTGGATATGATCTAAGGTGATTAAAGTTGAAGAAATTTTTTCTTAAAATATTTAGACTTTAAATATAATTAAAATAAAGAAAAAGACATTCATTGTCAAGTCAATACTGACAACCTAAAATATTTTATCTTTTTGACAACTTTTGTAGTGGATATGATCTAAGGTGATTAAAGTTGAAGAAATTTTTTCTTAAAATATTTAGACTTTAAATATAATTAAAATATATTTAATTAACATTTTACTTTTAAATAAATATAATATAAATTTATTTAATTTATTATATATTAAATGTATTTTAAAATAAATTTAATGATCATAAATTTAATTCTAATTAAACTTTGATTAGAATATCCTTAACTCAAAATCACCTCTACATATTAATGATTATTGGTTCTACAGATAATGATATTGTTCCTGGAAAGACTAAACTCTCAAATTTGGAGATATCAATCATTTTGGGTTGATGCTCACATGATTTTGTCTCGTTGATGTAACTTCTCAAGATATCACTAATCCTAGAAGTGCTACTATAAGAGCATACTTAACTTTGGAATTTCTATTAAAATTTCAATCATTATATCAAAAATATTCTGATATTTAATAAATTTAATTTTATTTTGTTAAGCGAATTTGTAATCTTAAATCATTAAAATAACAAAATTCTGATATCACAAGTGAAAATTAAAATACATTTTATCTTTACGAAAATCTTAATTTTTTCATAATTATTGATATATCAAGTTATTATATTACATTCTTTCATATTATAAATATATTTTTAGATTCAACAAAAAATTTAAGGCTGTACTTTTTACATTTAAAATGTAAATAATATGAAATTAAATAAAATAAAAAAAATATAAATTTACTTTTTTTAGAAATTTAAAATTTGAAAATTAAATTTATTATAGGCTAAACCCAATTTTAAAAAATGTGAAGGTTTTTTTATTAATTATAATTGTTGACGTCTATCTAGCAGATCTATGAACAATAAGCAGGAAAAAAAATTAAAAAATTACATAAAACAAAAAGAAGAAGAGAAGAAGAAGAATGGCAGCCTGATGTGGGTGAAGAGTGGCCGCAGCCACACCGCCATGACGTGTCATTCCACCCCACCACTATTAACCATAAATTATACAATGGCCATGTTAAACTTAAGCTTTTATTTTCTATCTGAATTATGTTATTATTAATTTGGAAAATGATTACATTATTGAATCATAAAGACTCTTTAGTGCACTTATTATCAAGTTAAAATTTCTATATATTTATTTATTTATGAAAAGTATATTTTATTTACAATATTTAATATTAATGATACTTTTAATGTAATTTAAAGATTTGGATAATATAAATATGTAATGTTGATTATTTAATTTATAGAAACTTCTAATATGTATAATAAATCCCTTCTTATTATTAATTTTCGCTCCCACTAACAAATCAAAAAGATTATATCAATTATTTAGAATTATATTTATAAAAAAAATTGTGCTGAATATTTTGATCAAATTAATCAAGAAAATATATAAAAATATATTTAAGAGAAATATAATATTAAATTGATTATCCATATATTAAATTCATCTAAAATTAAATTAAAAAAATTTAAAATTTAATCTAAATTTAATAAAAGAGTTTCTTAACCAAATTTCTCTAAAAATACATCTTCATAATGTCTGTCTTTATCTAATTATTTTCTCAGATATCGCCTAATCCTACAATCTACGCCATACCCAAATTAGCACATAATTGTTTTTCATAATGCGGCAGAATGCAGAAATCCCACTTCCCTGATCAAAAGCAAGAGAATCCCCCCTATCGTTCACCAGTCGATCTATCAAGCACTAATTTGAGCTCAATTTTATCACTTAAATATAGTCACTAGTATGCATCTACTGTTTCTTAATTTAATCCACTTATTTTGTTTATAACGCCGACCACGCTCTACTATTAGGGCATTTCCAAACTGAATCAACCATATTCTTTTCGCTCTAAAATGCAGTAAATTTAAAAAATTTCGTAATTCATAACTCCAATAAGACTCCATTTCTTTCTTCTTCGCGGGCTTTCCTATGAATGGTATATCATCTTTCTCCTTTTCCCACGTTCTTCTCCTCTTTTGAGCTCTTCATCGGCATATTCACAACTCAATTTTTTGGTTTAGATGAACAGTCCAGACAGCATCACACTATTCACTACCGAATTTTCGCGTCAGATTCGAATTCGAATGCAACAAATGGGGGATGACCTTCTTCCGAGCATTTCTCTAGACAAGGTAGGGGCAACCAACCTCTCCTTTTAATAGTGTATTATAAGAGATGATAAATATAATATGCTTATAGCTATATAAAGAACATACCGGAAAATTCTACATCATTTCCGAAGTAATTTCGGGCGGATATAAATCTCGTCACATTTCCGCGGAATTCTCCGGCGGATTATCCGACAGATTTCGACGGAAATTAAAAATTAAATTAATATTTTAATAGCTTAAATATTATAATAATTTTTTATATTATTTATTTTGTTAAATTAATCGTTAAATAATTTATAATAATTTATTGTTAATATGTTAAATTAACGTAATTTTTAATTCGTTGTTAAAATTAAACAGATTTTTGTTAAATTAAATTTACTAAAGTCTTAGTTTATAACTAATAAAAAATCTTTATCAGTTATCTCAGGCTAAAATAAAATAAAGTCTAAATTTATAATTGATTTAGTTTTTCATGGATAGAGATTCGAATGTGAGGTGACGCGTGCATCTGCTAGGCTGTAGCGCGAAGGGGGCGCGTTCGAACCCCGCCGAAAGCATTCGCGCCTGCGCGGCTCACGCGGGATTCTCACGTCGGCGGGCTCATCTGCTCGGATCTAAACGGCGGAATTGGGATTTGGCAGCGCGGATAGGGGGCTGCAAGCCGATGGGGGTTGTCTTTGAAATTTTTTTAAAACCCCTAAATTTTATTTACTTTCCGGCGGAAGAATAAATCCGCCGTCAATAATCTTTCTCCAGCGGTATAAATCTGTCGGAATATAATCGTGCCGGAGAATGTTATTCGGCTGTATATTATTTCGCCGGAAAGGCCTTTTTACGGACGCGCAGTCAAACCGGCGCAAAATCTTCCGGAAATTACGCCGGAGAATGCTAATTTCCGACGGATTTTGTCCAATGATTCCCGGCGAAAATGCCTCCGGCGAAAATGACATTTTTACTTGATTGGATAATAACTATGTATAATATAATATACTATGATATTTTACCATACGATGTATTTTTTAAAGGTGCAGCAACCAATTATAGTTTATAATGTTTATTTTTAGTTAACTATAAAGACAATGCATTTCATAATATATG